AAAAAAAAAAAAAAAAAAAGACACGAATCAGCAAAAGAACGTCGGTTGCTGATCATCGAGTGCATCTGGCGTCAAAAGATGTTTAAAGAAATAACTTCAAGCAAAAACCTCGAATCGAATTGACAGCGAGTGATACCGTGACAACGAATTATTAAGGATCTTCTATCATGAATTTCTTATCAACTTTCCTTCCTTCTCTCACTAATTTCTTTAATATGATTTCACCGTGGGAAAGTATGAGGATTTTAGAAATTAAAAGTGTTCGTAACACAACCCTATTTCACAGCACAAAATCTCATCGATAATTTGTTAGTATTTATATGATTACGAATTAATAATGAGAATAGATTTATCATTAAAAAAAGAAAAAGGTTATATTCTTAATGTCGAGTTATTTTTAAGAGGAATTAATTAATCGAACTTATTACAAATCAAGATACGTAATTCATATATTATCTATTTATTGATTAACTAAGTACTATTTAACGATTTAAACTGACTTCATATTTAGTCTAACTCGTTAAACATTGATTATTATTTCAACAATATCGCTATATCGTTCGAAACTATCCGCGCAAATATCCCTAAACTTCATTTGAAAATTTGAATGATGTCGATATAGTTTTGCGATAAAAAAGTTCATATATAAAATAACAGAAAAATCAATCATCGTAAAAAAAAAAAAAAACAAGAAGAATAAAGAGGTCAAGAAATATAACAACAATTTCGCAAACTGGAAAGACGACTATCACAATTTCAACAAAGTTTCGATTTGATCGATGTCTCGAAAATTACGAACCGGCTTCATGACTTTCCATAACTTTCGAGTAATCTAAAAGGATTATTCGCACAAATAATTTCAATCGAATAAAAAGAAAAAAAAAGGGAAATTATTTTACACCATTTTTGGAAGATCCTCAGTAATTCATGGTTTTGTACTTTTCGAAGAACGCCAGCTAACCTCTCGTTACATATGTATATTAAATAATAAGATCATTATTAAAGATATATTTTAAAAATTATAACGCTTCTACAACCTCTGGCAATGAGGCGTTTAAATGAATAGATAAAAATAAAAATAATAATAAAAAAATAATTAATAATGATAATAATAATAATAATAAATAATTAATGATAATGATAATAATAAACAATAATAATAATAATAATAATAATAATAATAATAATAATAATAATAATAATTGATAATAATAATTAATAATAATGATAATAATAATAATTACTAATTGATAATAATTGATACTGATAATAATAATAATTAGTAATTGATAATAACAATTAATGATAATTATGATCACGATAATAAAAATAAAAATAAATAATAATAATACTAATAAATAATTAATGATAATGATAATAATAAACAATAATAATAATTGATAATAATAATTAATAATAATGGTAATAATAATAATTACTAACTGATAATTGATACTGATAATAATAATTAATAATTGATAATAACAATTAATGATGATTATGATGACGATAATAATAATAAAAATAAATAATAATAATAATAATAATAATAATAATAATAATTGATAATTGATAATAATAATTGATAATAATAGTAATAATTGATAATAATAGTAATTGAAAATAATTAATAATAATAATAATAATAATAATAATAATAAAATAATCAGTTATTGATATGATAATTAATGATAATAATAATAATAACAATAAAAATAATAATAATAATAATCAATAATAATAATCAATAAAAATGACAATAATGATAATAATAAAGAATTAATAATAATAATAATGATAATAATAATAATAATAATAATAATAATAATAATAATAATAATAATAATAGTAATACTCAATAGTAATAATAATAATAAAAATGGTAATGATAAACAATAATAATAATCAACAATAATAATAATAATAATCATGATGATAGTTATAGTGATAATAATAGTGATAATGACACTGATAATGATTATAAACAATAATAATAGTAATAATAATAGTAATGGTAATAGTAATAGTAATAATGATAATAATAATAATAATAATAGTAATAATAATAATAATAATAATAATAATAATAATAATAATAATAATAATAATAATAATAAAAAATATTTTAATAGTAAACATGCAGGAAATCGTGATGAAGATTCTAGATTGGACGTCCAAGACTTCTATCATCATCGATTCATCCAACAAAATATATTAATACTATTCATTCAAGTTCAAAAAGCTACTAGCGCAACATATTTACTGGTCATACTAAAGAAAGGAGTAACATTTCGAAGTAGGAAAGTAATTGACAATAGTAGTGACCACAATAGTGATTCGTTTACGATCGCGATAACGTTCGTATAAAGTGCTTTCAAAATAGGAGCTGGTTTCAAATAAGAATTAAAAGTAGAGGAGAAGAAAAACAATATCAACGAAAAGACTGCGAAAAAGAATAGGAAGAACCGTTAAAGTAACTCGTTATATCATTTTACTACAATTCACTAAGGCTCTACTCGCTATAGTAACACCACTACAATTACAGATCAGAATAAAAAATCGAAATAAAATGTTCGACCGACTGAGAAACAAATTTTTTTTACAAGTTTCTTACCGTTTTTGTTGGAATATTGAAGAAATATTTGCATCGAGAATTTATGGTTGATATCATATCGATCGAACATCCTTGCAAAGTTATCTCGAAGATCGATCAAGGAAGACGAGAAGATATTGTGTGGATTTTGCAATGTTTATCGCTGCAATGCAATTCTTTTTGATATACAATTTTCTTTTTTTTTTTTTGATTACGTAAAAGCTCAACTTGCGAATGAAAGAACGTTCTCAGTCTTTTCGAGCATATTCTTTATAATCTCTCATCTTCCTTTACGATAACAGGTTTCGGATCAAGAAAATGAAAGATAAATCATACAAAAAATACATAATTAACGCGGATTTTGTAATCACATTTGTTCAAAGGAAAGAAAAAAAGACTTAAACATAATAAAGTAAAAAAAAAAAAAAAAAAAAAAAAAAAAAAAAAGAACGAAAAAAAATACATTAACAAAACAAAGGAAATAAAGTAAAAGAAAAACAATTAAAGAACAAAGATGAGATGAATCGGAATAAGTAAAATGGATTATCATCATTGTCATACTTAAAATCATAGATTAAGACGAATCTCCGTTGATATGAAAAAGAGAAATATACATATAAATATGTATAAAAAAGAACATCTACTTAACCATCTAAAAAAAAAAATAAGAAATAAATGACACATAAAGATAAAGAAGGATTTGGAGAAGATATAATAATAATAATAATAATAATAATAATAATAATAATAATAATAATAATAATAATAATAATAATAATAATAATAATAATAATAATAATAAAACAATAGGATACAGC